AAATTCACCCATCTTCAACTCACCCAAGTCGTTTGGATCCCAGGAGCTATGTTTTCAGGCTAGTTCAGGCTGACATGACACCATGAGGACACCCATCCCATGAATGTTTCAGAGCACATGTTCCTTGCCCCCTGATCGATCGTTGCTGCGCCGCTCCGAGGCCCCCTGGATTCCAAGATGCAGCCAGGGTGGTCTTGAACGATCAAAAGAAGCCCTTGAAGCTCGCCAGGGACAACCTGCAATCTGCGCTCGAACGTGATGCAGTCATAGCCTCATGCTCATGTTGAGTGTCTTATGATGTCTTTGTAAATCTGTGAACTCTACATTTGACATCATTTGATATGATCATACCAGTTATGACATGACAATTCGATCACACGCCACGGTTTTTTGACTCCATGATTCAGGTGGATGATATTCCTGGTTTGGTAAAGTGTGCTGATGGCAAGCTGGCAGCGTACAAAAGCTGCAAGGATGCCGGCCAACTAAATTGATTGGCATGGCCTACTCACTGACAATTTTCTTTCCAGGGTATGGTATCTCACGCGACGTAGTGTCGATACCAAGTGTGTTTGCCACTGAGATGCCCAGTCTGATCTGAGCTATGATTCCTATCCTGTGTTTGAACACATAACGAACAAAACTAAACGAAATGTCTTTGCCGCTGGGGGTCCGTATGTGGCAAGATCGAGTCAAACAAAGACGACTCATTTTGCAATTTGGTGAATCGGAACCAACGATCTTAATCGCAAACCTTGCGTGATATATGCAGGGATGGGGCAAAAACACTTTGTTGCCGGATTTGCAAATGGGAATGAACACCGACTTCACACATCATCTCGTACAACAAAAGGTTCAGTGATGTTCAGTGTGCACACCCACGCAGGTGACCATGAGGCCTTCGTTGCCCTCAATGCCATCGGTGATGTCGCTTGTGGTGCTCCTCGGCTGGAAGTGTCAACCACTTGCCAGAGTAGGTCATAGATAGAAATCTTGACTGGGAACTGAGATGGGAACCCTCGAAACATGATCAATGGCTTCCACATGTTCTCTGTCCTAGGTAATTTGATACATCAAACTTGGTGGGTGCATTTTTCCCATGAGTAATTCATGTAGATAGAGTTTGCCAAATATGGCGAAGTAGTACAGTATATGTGCACATCAGGTTCACCAGGTGGTATTTGTGCATGATGTTCAACAAAGATCAGCCGCATTCTTCTTATGATAAAAAACAATGCACGCATTGACCTAGGTTTCCAGCATCAGCCGTGCAATGCATGGAGTTCGAGCTCATGTTCTTGAACCTGGGTTGCATTTGGGTCCAGCAAAAACGAAACTGACACGATACTCGTGGGCGCCCAGGATGATCACAAGAATCAATCGCATAATACTTTGTTCAAATCACACCTTGTTCCACCCCTCCTCCCACCTGAAGTGTTTTGCTTTCAGCACGGTTTGCCGATATATGCATGTGCATGTTGATGCAGTGAGCATGATGTGTTTTAAGCCTTGGGAAGCAAGTAAAATGCAATGTTAGTGCTGAGGAATCCAAAAAAAATTGCCACCCCATGAGCCGTCGTCTGGGATCCTATTCGATGAAGAACCACAGCCGTGACTTTTGGACTTATTGTAAGATACCGGTGGCCACTGGGTTGCACGGTGTCTAGAGACACAAGTGACATGGTTGTTTCGTGTTATAAACGCGTTTGTTGAGCTGAACTGACAGAACTGAACTTGCGCTTGAACCCAGGAAACAGTAACAATTCGAATTCCGATTGCAAATTCGAAGTTGGACCCACCTTATGAGATGAAGGACTTCAAACTATTGGAACCATTTTCAGTCGTCAAGTACATGTTTTGCGAAGCTGGGGTTGCGGTCGATCCTGACGATGTTAAGAAGTTTTGGTTACATCATTGGGAAGTTGGCTCGGCTTGGGCAACAGAAACAACAGCAACAGATCAGCATATTCCCCTTGGATTGCACGGAGATGGTGCAAAATTGAGACAGTTGGCTTTTCAGCGGGCACAGAAGATGATTGGGATTTTTCTCAATGCCCCACTCTGGCGGCCCAAGAGTTGTAGAGCATCCAGGTGGTTACTTTGTGCGATCCGGGAAGATGATTTGTATTTGCATCACACTCTCAACGCGATTTATCGTCGGATTGTGTGGTCTTTAAATTGTTTGCGCGATGGAGTCTATCCAAGCACTGGTCCGGACGGGGAGCCACTCCAAGGCAAACATAGATTACGCAGTGGCACACCAATTTGCAATGGGTTGAAATTTGCAGTGACGGAGATCCGCGCTGATTGGCTATATCACAAACAGGTACTTCGGTTTAGTTCGAGCTGGAAAGGCGGTGCTAAAGTGCCAGTCTGTTTCCATTGTCCTGCTTGGGCCTCTGGACCTGACAAATACTATGATGTCAGTGAAACTTCCCCATTGTGGATGAAGCAATACACACTTGTTGAGTTTTTGGTGGAGCAAATGCCTGCATGGGACCCATGTGCCTGAGATTGTGACAAGTACTATACATGTTGTTCTTTAACATTCCACTTGTTGATGTTGAAACTTAAGTTGTGTTGAATTTTTGGTATGCGTTTACTATTCCTTTCCCAGCCAACTCTTGCCCAGCTCAGGCCCTTTAATCTGTTTGCGTGATTTCCACCCAAAAACATTGAAATTTTGCTCTATGCATGCCATAAATCTTGGCCTATGCTTTGTCATCAATGGTGGTTCTTTGTGGCTCAGCAGTGCTAGTGCACATGTTCATTTTGTGCAAGGCTTTGTTGCACTGATACCATATTATTCTAGCAGCTAGCATATTCTAGCCGACATTTATTGACTACTGCACCGTGTAAAAACGTATCAAATCCGCAAATGAGGATTTCGTTGATGGACCTCGGGTACTTTGGTGATGTGACCCTCTCTGTGCAGCAGAAGCTAGATGAGGCATACAAGCAGTTTAGAGCTTTCTGCACAATCCGGAAAATCCGATGCTCGCAGCCCCCTTTCACGGAAAAGATGGACCTCTGGACCAAATTAGATCGTTTTTGTTTGAACCCTTCATCACGGATCTAAAACTATGTCATCTAATCGATCTATGTTGTTTCCGCTTGCATTTGAAATTAAGGTATTCAAAACGACTGGGGAAGTTCTGCTCACGACAAAGGCCTACAACAGTCGTTGCATTACCGAATGGCTAGCATATGAATTGTTGGAGGCCACCCGCAATCCCCGTTTACGATTGCAAGACGACAGAATCCCTGCTATATCTATTTGTTTGTGCCCTGGTTTATTTAATCAAGATCGGAGTTTTGAAAGCTATTTCCCTCGGACATGTTCTTTTGTTGAAAAAAATCACTAAGTTGGATCAAGTTGGGATATATGTAGTATAGTTTTTAGAATTATAGAGACATCTCAGGAGTTCATTGGCGCGCTGATTTGGCCTGATTGAGAGGTACCCACGTTTTTTGCAACTGGGCTGAGACCATCATATAATGTTTGTTGTTCTGTTGAAAAGAATCGTACTTTAGTAGTGGGCCAGGATGTTGTTGATGAATCAAACACAAAAACGATCCTTCTTGCTCCATCCATCGACCATCGGCCATACTTGTCCAGGACCAGGGCACAAGCAGCTCGTGTCTACAAAGAAGGAGAGCGTTTTTGCAACACATATCTCCTCTTGGCACAGAAGTCGTCCTTGTGAATTGGCGTGGATATCATTTTTGGATATTTTTGTCATGCGTGATGTGCGTGCATGTTTGTGCATGATGTGACATCTCGGCCAACTAATCCAAAACTCAGGATGAATCTGGGCAACAAATACTATTTCATGGTCAAACCAAAGATACACGTCGCTTGGTGTAATTTGTCTGGCAGTGAAAAAATTAGCTGCAATAATTCCCAAAGAGTCCGAGTGATGAAAAAAGCCAGGTCATTGACACCCCAGGGTTTTGTTTCGATTGAAAACCGAGGCCTTTGCCCATATGAACTTCCAAATGCGCGACTTACGTTACTTGGCTCGATGTGGGTTAGCATACATGCACTAGTCATCCCTGTCCCGTTTCCTTCACACACGTGCCCCACGGCCCGCTAATTTGTACCAAGGGTGCAATATTCGCTACGAACACACATTTCTGGATGAAGACGCCATGGGGTGGCTGAAGAGATGCATGGCTGCATTGACAGTTCTATGACACCTGAAAGTCAAAGAGTCTTTAGGGGACTTAAAAGGGAACTTGCTTCTGGCCTTTTGTCTTTGGAGTCCTGGGAATACGAAACATGTTTGGGATTTTTGCATCCAGAATCTAAGAAATGGCACTTCGTGGACATGGATCCCATCAAACGGGTTTCCTTCTCAAGTCCTCAAAGCTCAGGACTGGTTGCAATGCAATACTGAATTTGCAGTTGATGTGTTTTTGTCCTTTACCCCCTGAGAGTCCGAGTGACAAACAAGCCTATCTTCCTTCTCCAGGATGCTTCATGCGAAATACAATATGAAGCAGCCACCAAGTTGCAGTATAGGTTTTGAACAGGCATGAAGAACGGATTGCAAAGTACTTTTTCTCGTTTTCTTCACTGACAGCTTCGTGGCTCAACACTCGTTTGAACCTGATGAGGTTGAACAAATCGGCAGCAAGACACAAATGATGGTGGACCTGAGAAAAGTGTGCGATCGCTGGGCTCTGCTGAAGGAACGGGATACTCTTTCCTTAATGGGTTACTTTTCAGGCTCTCCCTTCAATGGGTCACCATTCCAATCATGCCCATCCAACATCGAGGCGTGGTCGCGCATGGGCGCCCGTGGGCGGCCGTGGGCGGGTTCAATCAAAACCCTGGGGGTGTCAATGATGTGTCTTGGGTACCCATGATTCGTCTTTACCGGAACGACCTGGCTTTGTTTATCCTTTGGACTTCCAGGGTATATATATATATATATCATAGCTTATATCGCACACACACACACACAAAGCTTTTTCGTACGATTGCTATACGCCAGGTGGGCTGGGAACGCGGGGCCAATGCGGGCGAAACGGCTGGACAAGGGTCCGCCTTTCCCGTGGATGGTGCGACGCACAGCCTGTTTGTTGGAACGCCAACAGGGAGGGTTTCTGGTAGATCAAAGGGACCACACATGACAGCACTACAGTAATAGGTGATATAGTTCGATATTTTCAGCGCAGAGCCAAATGGATACAGCAGCCCAATCAGCCACAGTGGAGCCTGAACATGGTTGTAAGTGACCAAGCCGTCCTACTCAGGACCAGCCGATGATTAGCCGTGGAGGTGGTTGATTTAAGGAGAACATGAAGGAGCTGTTTAACTTCTACTTCCACAACAGGGCCCGTACACTATAGTTCTACGTCAGTCGCTCAAATGTTTATAGATTGGAGGCTAGTTGGTAGTTCTGTAGATGCGCTCGTCAAGAGTTACTACCAGGAACCCACAGGACATAAACCAGAAACAAAGGGTGTATACGTTATTCAGTAATTCACGTCGGGACAACGATTTCGTAGTCAGAATCGGAAGACCCAGGATCATCATGCACGGGGCAGCGCCACCGATGTCGGGACGTCTCTTCAATGGCTGGGGAGAGATTCCAACGACTAGCCGGGATCAAATTTCAGTCCACCAGGGAGAACGCGTGGAGTTTGTTTATTGTTACTTTTTCTCAAGTCAACAAAGAGACAATTCAACGCAGGAGAATGTCCTTTGGAAATTGGCAACAGCTTGCAGGTGCTTGTGTTTTCTCTTTTGGGGGGGGACTCTCACATGATCTCGCCAAAGTGGACACAGTCCGACCGCCCTCGTTCCAAAAAGCCACTGAAACAAGTTAGGAGGATTGGGCGGTTGAAGTTCTGGGAGGTGATTGGCCCCGAATTCTTCATCCCTCCTTCCTCCCTCTCGGCAAGCTAGCTCCTTTGGCTTCGCACGTTCCGACCGAGGTGAAGCCATCACGCATCAGATCGTCGATCGCCCCAGCGGCTCCTTCGACGTGCGCCCCGGCCCGACGCCCCAAGCGCTGGACCGGACCGGAACCGAAAACGCCGCGAAACCGTCGGAGGCACCGTCCAAACCCGTTCGACGCAAACGAAACGAAACGGGTGGTGCCTTTGGCGATGACGAAACGAATGATTGGAATGACGGTGAGGGGTTGCTTCATTTCAGCCTTTCCGACTCCGACAGTTGAAGGCTCTTTTTCCGGTTTCAGGAAGGTTTGCAGATTCTTTTTCCAAATACGACATCCAGCACTTCTCTAGCTGTAGCCCTCAGTCATCTTCAGAATGTTGCAGCCACTTTTTCCAAATGGTGCTGGATCCAGGCTACAACCAATGAACCGTAGTCGTCCTCCCGGCACGAGTCGGCACTGGTGTGACCGGTGACACTTCCGGCAGGACCACGGGAACTCTCTCAGGGGCCAAAAACGCAGCAGTAGAGCCATTGAAGTATTACTGGTTATGTCTCAAGGTTTCAAGTGAAGTAACAAAGAAGCTATTAGTAACAAGTGCCTCGCTAGTAGTAACAGGTGCCACGCTAGTAGTAACACGAAGCTAATGAGTTATGTCTCAAGGTTTCAAGTGTGTGCTTTTTGGCTGTATGGTCAATGGCCGCTTGGGGTCCATGCTAAACAGCAACCGTTGTGCCTTCGTAGCGGTCCGATCGCTCCAATCGTAAGCGATGCCCTTTGGAGGCCCGTGCGTAGCACCTTGCTACGTTTTTTTACTTTTTCGATGCCAGGAGCGCCCCGTTTCGTAGCTTCTGGTTAACCTGGGGGTTCGACTCATGTCATATATCCATTTGCGACCCGCACCACGACTGGCGTGCGCGTCTGACCTGCCGGAGGTCGTGAATATGTGCAGCCTCAGTGGGTCTTCGACTCCTTCAACATAGGTGGAGTTCCGAGCGAACAGCGTGTGGTTGGTTCATATCGGATTCCAGCAATAAAGCCTTCAATGTTTCCCTCTAGCAGGAAGGCTTTGATGGTCTTTCCAAGTATCGTTCATTGGTGGAAGCTTTGAGGATCTCCGCCGATCTCCGCCGTGGGTTGGAGATGGTATAATGGCTCAGCCAGATGAACTCGGTTGGGATCGCTTTTGCTTGTGGTGGCAACGGGCCAATTCAGCCCATTTCGAAGGATGGTTTGTCCTTATTGGTTTGTACCTCATTGTATTGGTTGGGTGTTGGCCTTACTACTAGGAGCAAAGGGCATTGCTACTAGGAACAAGGGCATCGCTACTAGGAGCAAGGACGCTACTAGGGGCTGGCCCCAGTAATCAGATGCTTGATTTATCCCTTGCTCCTAGTAGTACGGCCAGGGGCCCCTAGTAGCGTCCTTGCTCCTAGTAGTACGGGCCCCTAGTAGCGTCCTTGCTCCTAGTAGTACGGCCAGGAGCCCCTAGTAGCGTCCTTGCTCCTAGTAGTAATGCAGGAGCCCCTAGTAGCGTCCTTGCTCCTAGTAGTACGGCCAGGAGCCCCTAGTAGCGTCCTTCCTCCTAGTAGTTAGTACGGCCAGGAGCCCCTAGTAGCGTCCTTGCTCCTAGTAGTAAGGCCAGGAGCCCCTAGTAGCGTCCTTGCTCCTAGTAGTAAGGCCCTTGTTACTAGTAGCTATTTGCTCCTAGTAGTAAGGCCAGGAGCCCCTAGTAGCCTCATTGTATTGGTTGGACTTATTTGTTTGGACATGGCCCCAGTAATCAGATGTCTGATTTATGGCAGAGTTTGGTTTGAGGGTGCTGGAGAGTGGTGGTCCAACAGCTCTTTATCCCAACAAATCCGTTGCGGTGTGGCTTATTCATCACTTATGAACTTAACCAATTCTCATGTTCCCCCCCAATCACGAAAGGTAGCTTGAGCTACCTGAGTTCTCCTTGCTTTAGCAAAAATGTATTACCATCGGGATTTGGTGATTTGCATTGAGTTTGGTCCTGTAAGAAGGGATTCTGTTCGACGGGGGGGGGGGCCCTGGATCAAATCCCCCTGCGCCGTCGCTGTTTAGGTCACATCCATCCACCTGTGACGCCGGAAAATGGACTTCTACCCCTGATTGCCTGCTACCTTTCGTTCACCCCCTCTTCTCTCAAGTGGGATCCGGGGCCCGGATCAATCCATCTGCTGACCACGCGCCGCACAAAGCTCTGCGCTCTGCGCAGGCTGCCTGCTGCCCATAGCTCCATATGGGCCTGGGCGGACTCCGCCTGGGCACTCGAAGAGAGACCAATCGACGTTTGACCGGTGGCGGCGACCGAGAGCGGCCCGTTCCGGGAGCGGGCCATCGTCGGTTCCAACGTCTAAGTGAAAATGAGTGGAACAGTTCCCATTCTAATTTCATTCTAATTAAACTTAGTCTTAGTTCTAATAGCTTCTTGTTACTACTAGTAAGGCACTTGCTCCTAGTAGCGATGCACTTGTTACTAGTAGCATTTTAGGGTGCATCGACGTCTGACTGGTGGGGATCACGCCATGACTCGGTGGGGATCACGCCATGATGATGTGAGAGCACCCATGAGAGCACCCAGGGTCGATGTTCGGCTCATAGAATACCTTCCCAGTGATGGCAGATTCCTGGGACCCTAGTAGGTTGGAGGCCATTAGGTTGGAGGCCATCGCTATTGTAGGTTGGAGGCCATCGCTCGCTATTATAGGTTGGAGGCCATCGCTCGCTATTATAGGTTGGAGGCCATTGCTATTATAGGTTGGAGGCCATCGCTATTATAGGTTG